TTTAAATATAATTGTTTAAAATATCGAAGAGTAGTTTGTAGTTTTCATAACTAAAAAAAAGGAAAAAGGAAAAAAAAGGAAAATTTTAAATTTGGTTTTACGCGTGTAAACTTTCCCTTAATTTTCTTTTTATAATTATTTCCTTTGAAAAAGGTCGTCGTACGAATTTTCACGTATTTTCTCAACACTTAAAAAAAAGTGGGAAGGAAAAAAAAAAAAACTTTAATCACGTTTTAAAACATTTTTTTTTAAAATTTAAACAACGATTTGAAATTAAATCCTATGACCTTTGACTCTAAAAATACTTACCTTTTATGAATTACATTAAAAAAAAATGTATTTTTTATTTTAAGTGTGTAAAAGGTGTCGGGGAGGGAGAGGGGAGGGGAGGAAGAAAGGATTATGATGAACAAAAAAAAACAAAAAAATTTTAATTTATTCTTTATTTTATTTTTTTTTCATTTAAATTTTTATTTAGGAAAATAAAATAAAACCGGAAGTAAATGATCCGGAAAATTAATAATAAAATGAGGGAAAATTTTTTTTTTTTTTTGAAGTGACTACTACTTACTGTTTATTTTTGTAATGAACGTTTTTAAAATTTTAAATTGTATTATACATTCGTGTTTACGTATTGTATTATTATTCGTGATTATTTTCGTGTTTACCCCTCCCCCCTCCTGCCTTCTCCTCATCACATTTATTTATTTATTTTTACTTTTTTACTATAACCATTCTCGTAACTTTTATAAACGTGCGATGATACTCGTTTTCCCTTGTAACGTCCTCAGGGAAATAGGAAACGTTATTTTCTTTCGATTAAAATCCCCCGCGATAAAACAAAAAATAAAATGTGGTTGACAGGTTTATTTAAGTGAAAATCATCATCATCATCATTATCACCGTCGGAATTATTTCCGTTTTCCCAATTGTTTAAAATCTTCTCTCACTTATTCGTCTAAAATATAATTTTTTTTACATTCATTTAAAATATTTTTCCTTTTCATTTCGGGTGTATAAAATTTTCAAAGGAAAAAAGGAGCATTTTTCTTTCCCCCCTTACCCCTACCCCCTACGCATACGCATGCATTCATATGTGATTAACGTGTATCTTATACACGTATGAAAAGAAAATAATACTATAACTAATCTGCGAAAACGTTTTTTTTTTTTTTTTTTGTAGTATACAAGTTTAAAATCAGTGTACTAGAAAGTTCTGATAGCGTAGTTTAAAGGTGAAGGATAATAATAATAATAATAATAATAATAATAATACGGGGGAAAATCATGAAAAACAGGAAGAGAAAGGAGGAAATAAAAATTCGAATGCTTCCTTTTTTTTTTTGTGGAATTTTATCACGATGGATTTTAAAATTCAATAAATACGTTTGATTTTTTTTTTACTAGTAGTTTTAATTGAATTAAACATGAGGAAAATATATCATAAAAGTAAATTTCTTTAAGACTTAATAACAAAAAGAAAAAAGTAGAAAAGGAAAAGAAAAGGAAAAATGAAAATGTTAGAGAAAAAATAAAAAAATAAAATTTTATTTTCCGCTTTTCCAAATCCCTTTTTTAAAAAAAAACAATAAAAATTTTTTTATTTTATTTTATTTTCACTTTTTGTAAATAATACAATTTTTAGCCGTGAAAAAATCAATTATTGATTATTATTATTATTATTATTAATTTTATTTATGTATTATTTATTTGTTTATTTATTGCATTTCATTTCGCATTATTCGATCGGAAAATAAACAAACGGAATTTAATATTAATTTTTTTTTTTTTTTCTTATTTTCGTAATGTCTCGTGTGATCGATTCGAAAAAATTTGTGACGTCATAAAATGAGAAATTCTTATCAATTGATTATTAAAATTTTATGTATTGATAATAGTATTCGATGCAAAAAAAGTAGAAATTTTCCCTTTTAGATATTGAAATTGTTCGTTAAAACCGATTTAAAATTATTTTAGGCCCCGTCGGTTATCACAATTTTATACCCATGACAATAATTTGATAAGAAACGAGAAGTTTAATATGGAAATTATCAATTCTATTTGTTTTCTAAATGATTTATAACGGTCGAAAGGGTTGGTGTAAGAATGTTTTTCATTCTCATGAAGAAAATTGATAGAAGAAACGAGAGAATGAATGACTGATATAAATATAAACAAATTAAAGTGTCAATAAGGAGAAATTGGGAAATTGAATATATATATATATATATATATATATATATATATATATATATATATATATTTAACAATTCTCAACCTTATTGTAAATAAGTTTAGAAAATACACTTTGTTTTTTTTTCTGTCTAAGTGGATCGTCAGGAACACGATAATAATAATAATATTAAAAAAAACAAGGATCGATTTTCACGTTATTTGATTAAATATTTTATCATTATTATTATTATTTTTAACCGTCGTTTTAATCGATAATTTTTTAATTAAAAAATATTTTTCTTTAAAAAAAAAAAATAAAACAAACAAATGAAATGCGTGTGTGTATATGTATAAATCGAATCGGAAAAAGAATTATTTGTTTTTCTGCTTACACGTCGTATTAATAAGAATTTTTTTTTTTCAAATGAATTTTTATTAATTAAAAAAAAAAAAAAAAAGAAAAATTAATATATTAAATTTAAATAAATATGTCCGGATTAATAAAAGGGGGAGGGGAAAAATGGAGATGGGAGGAGGAAGAGGGGAGGGAGGGATGGAAGGAGGAAGAGGGAAGGGAGGGATGGAGGGAGGGAAGAGGAGAAATTTATTAACGTTACGTTTGAGGTTTCGATTTTTTACTCTTTTTTTTTTCCGGGAAATTATTATCGTTTGCTTTTCCTTTAAGAGTTTGGGAGAAAAAAAAAAATTTTTTTTGTAATTTATTAATAATTCTAAAAAAAATCTATTTAAATGGATAAAACAAATTTAATTATTATTATCATTATCATTATCATAATTGCGTGTTAGTCTATTTGTAATTCTATGTGAACGGAACCAAGTTTTTCCTTTTGATTATGTATTATATTTTTCGCCCAAGCTTTACATTCAATGTTTATGAGTATTCCAGCTGGAAAATAAAAATAAAAATTTTTTAATAAAAATTCAAAATGAAAAAGTTTAAGCTAAAGAAAAGAAAAAAAAAAGTTAAAAAAAAAAAAAAGAGTTAAAACATCGGGTAATCAGAAAACGACTTATTGAGCACAAGTTTTAATTTTTTTTTTTTTTTTTATCTTCTTCATCTTCATCGATTCCAAAAAAAAGAGGGAAAAATGGGGGAGGAAAAAAGGGGAGAGAAAAAAGGGGGGAAAAAAATTTTTCTCTTTTACGTTCACCGTTTTTTCTTAAAAAAAAAAAAAAAAAAATTTTCCATTTCAAACGGTAAATTTTCTGCCCAATAATATCTGCCATGATAAAGCGCGCGTAAGTTTTACCTCCTGGCAAAATGATTTCCGAGCGAGCGATTTTAAATTAAATTTTTTTTTTATTATTCTTCCCACATCTTCCCATCGCTAAATCCCTCCCTCTCTTCCTACCTTCATTCCCCTCCTTTTTTTTTTTTATTCGATCGCTTATTCAAAAAGATAATAATGATAATAATAACAAAAATATATTAATCGTATTATTTTCCGATACCTTTTTTTCTTTTTTTTTTTTTTTTTATTTGTTAATTCAAAAAAAAAAAAAAAAAAAAAAATTTAAATTGCGCAGGAATACCAACTGGCACTCTGCATATATATATATATATATATATATATATATATATTTTTATACTTACACGCACACGCACACACACACACACCGAAAAAAAACATAAAATTTTATCGTTTTAAAAGCTTTTAGCAAAAAAAAAAAAAAAAAAAAAAAAAAATGTCCCCTCCAAAAAAAAAAAAACTTTCAAATCTTAAATTGAAAAAAATTTCTGTGCTTTAAATTTTCTCATTCTCTTACTCTCTTCCCCCCCAAAAAAAAAAACAAATAAAATCCCACCCGCCTGTCCCCTTCGAAAATAAAAAAAAAAAGTAAATTTGATGAATTCATTTAAAATTAAATGAATTTAAATATTTACTTTATTTTTATTATCATTATTATTATTATTATTATTATTATTATTATTATTATTATCATCACGGAACAAAACTGATGAGTGAAAATTTTTTTTTATTTTATTTTTGCATTATTTTTTATGAATCGAGGCGAAACAAAAAAAAAATAATAATAATAATTTGAATATTTATGTACGACAAAGTAAAAAAAATAATAAAAATAAAAAGAGAGAGAGAGAGAGATGGAAAGAGAGAAATAAAGGAAATGCTTTGGCCATGTTTGAGTGATTTAATCCGAGTTTAAGGTTTTAAAAAAAAAAAAAAAGTAATAATAATAATAATAATAATAATAAATGAAAAATAAACAACGAACGAGGAGGGAAAAAGTGAAAATAAAAAATCAATTCAACATTAAAAAAATGGTTTTTCCTTTTTTCTTTTTTTCCTTTTTTTTTTTTGTCTCACGAACAGATACAGTTTTTCAAATCGTAAATCCTTTAACATTAAAATGAAAAAAAAAAAAAAAAAAAAGAAATAAAGAATGAAACGGATATTCAGTTACAGAAAGGAAGAAAGAAAGAAAAAAAAAATGGAGGAAAAAAAAAACTTAAATCTTCTTTTTTTCCTCCCCTACCCCGTCTGGTTTTTATTCTCTGACTCGGTTTCAATTTCTACTCATTTTTCTCATAAGATTTGTTATTATTTTTCCTTTTTTTTTTTTTTTTAAATTTAAAAGTCATTAATCTTATTTTCCTTTTTACTACCCCTCCCTTTCCCCTTTCCCCCCTCCTCCACTTTTCCGCTCTAATTTGTGATTCGAAAGGTATATAACAACTCGGATTAAAGGGAAAATTTTTAAAAATTAAAAATTGATGAGGTTAAACCTTTTTTTTTATAAATTTTGTTTTAAGACTTTTAAACGAGAGTAAATTAAAAAAAAAACGCGTCGTGGAATTAGAAAAAAATGGTTTTCCCCCTCTCCCCCCACTTATTTATCTTCCATCAAAAATTTTATATCGGAAATTACTTTTGAATAATTTACCAAAAAAAAAAAAAAAAAAGAGAAAAATCGTTGGAAAAAAAAACAATTTTAAAAACTTTATCGCGATTCCAAAAATTATAATAAAATTAAAACAACAAACAACAAACAAACAAACAAACAACCAACAAACAAACGACAACAACAGCAACAACCAAAGATCAAGATGTTAAAATATGAGACGAAGCTTTTACCTAAATTAAAGTGAAATCTTTATTATAAATTTTTTTTTTTTTTTTTATAGAAAAATATTTTACACTTTTTTATAATTTAAAATTATTTTACTTTGTTGACATTTTGTAAAGAGCCTAAAAATTACGTAGGCGACAAATAAATAAAACAAGTAAATTAACATTTTTATAAAAGAAGACCTCTTATCACAAAAAGATAAGAGATAAAAAAAAAAAAAAATGAATTTAAAAAGGCGTAAAATAATAAAATTAAAAAACAAACTAATTATTTTAATTAATTTTTTTTAATATTCTTAAATGTCGCGTTCATCACACGAACAAACAAACAAACAATAACGTAAATATTTACGTTACCTTTTAAATTTTGAACTTTTAACCTTTAGGAAAAACGCGAGGGCGAGAAAAACTCATTAAAAAATTTCTTAATTATTTATCATGAAATAACAAACGCAAAACATAAAAAATAAGTTTAAAAAATTTCCTTTCCCCCCTTCCCCTCAAAATATTTGCTAACGTTTAAAAGTTCGATTGATTGATCGATTTTTTTTTAAATTAACGCAAATTCGTTTCGAAAAAAAAATTGAAATTTAATTAAATTATCTATTACGATAAATAAACCTAAAAAAAATTTTTTAGTCATTTTTGGCTTTAAAAAAACAATTTTTTTTATTTTTTAATCCCTCTTCCCCATTCCCCCCATTCGTTTTCCGGAAGGAAAAAGCAACGTGGAAAACTACAAGGAAAAGTCATTAAGAAGACGTTTCTATTAGTTTTCCCACGTTAGAAAAAAAAAAAAACAAACTTTTTTTTCTTAAATTGTTTCCGTCAGTTTTACTTTCTCTTTCCCTACCCCCCGCTCGACACTCCGCCCCCCCCGTTGAAAAAGATTTTATTGTTTATCATCAATTTTTTTTTTTTTTTTTTATTAAATTTATTTAAGTTTAACGAGTTAATGACCTTTTCTTTCTTTCTTTCCTTCTTTTTAACCTTTGTCTTAAGCTCGTTAAAAAAAAATTTCATCCCCTTTAATGATCTTAAATACAAACGTGTTCGTGATTGTTGTTGTTGTTGTTTTTAACTTGAAAATACACGTGACCACGTGATTATCACTTTTTTATTCAATCAAAAGTTAAGAAATACGTTTCTAATACTCTAATCCGATCTGTACAAACACACCACACAACAACACTTCGACTCAATTTTATTTTACAAAGACAAACACAATAATAATAATGACTAAACAATGTTTTGAATCGTAATAATCCTTTTTATGATAATAATAATTAGAGCAATAAACGATTGTAATTTATTTAATAATTTTTTAATTGAATAAAATATTTATTTATATGTTTACGATAAAAAAAAAAATATATATAATACTTACTTTTCGGCCTTTCGAGATGTATGGCTAACAACGGACTCAAATACCCTTCGTTATTTTCAAATGGATAAAAATAACCGGGGAATCCCCTGTTTCTCGGAATGTAATGAACGGGCCCAATGTTTTCTCTATCCAAAGGATTTTCTCCCTGACAACTAACCCAAATTGTGTTTAGCTAAAAAATAAAAATAAAAAACAAAATATTTAATTATTTGGATGGCTTATTTTAAATCTTTTTTTCTTTTTTTTCCACTACGGTTTTTTTTTCTACTGTATAAATTTTTATTTATTTCTTTCCTTTTTTTCTCCTTTTTTTTTCCTTTTTTTCCATTTAGTTTATTTTATTTTTTATATAATAATAATAAAAAAGATTACCTTTAAGGTATTTAAAAAAGTTTTTTATGTAAACCGGGTCAATTTTTTTTTTTTCTTCCTTTCTCGTCAACTTAATAATATTGATGATAATAATAAAAAAAAGGAAAAAAGGAAAAGTCTATAAACAATTTTAATTAAAAAACCTAATTGTAAAAAAAAAAATAAAAAAAAATTAATGAAAATAATGAGAAAAGAAGATTAAAAAAAAAAAGGTTTTTACTTAATGAGAAAGAAAGAGAAAGGGAGAGAGAGAGGGAGAATAATTCGAGTTTTATAATTTTGTTTTTTTTTTTTATTTAAATTTTAAATAAATAAATAAATAAAAAGTTTATTATTATTATTATTATTATAAGGAAAAGGTATAATTAAAATTATATTTTTTTATAATCGATTTCATTAAAAAGAAAACTAATAAATTTTATCACGTGTGTGCGTAAAAACCTTTTTTTTCATAACTTTTAAAAATAAATTTTTTTTTTAAGGTTTGTGTGCGTGTGTTTGTGTTTGTGTTTGTTTTTTTAAAAGGGGGATTTAAAAATTTATTACAAAAGTCAAAAAAAGAATGTTTTAGAAAAAGGTTTAGAAAAAATAATAATAATAAAACTATCTAAAAAAAATTACGAGGTTTAAGCGTGCGTGAAAATGATAAAAGGAAGAAACGAAAAAAATTTACTTTTAAAAATATTAATTTTAAATCATTCATTCTCATTCATTCTCATTCATTCACACCCGAAAGAATGTTGCAAATGTCACCGTGAAAATAATAAATAAATAAACAAAAGAATTAAAAATTAAAAAAAATATTTTTTGTTGTTTAAATATTAAAAAATTTTAAAATGAAAAAAAAAAAAAAAAAAAGTTTGTGACGTATCGATTCGAAAAATAAATTAATTATTTATATATAAAACCGCAAAAAGTTTCAAAACTTTCTCTTAACGGTTACTATATATATATGCATGTACGATTCGAATGTCATCATCAATTATTATCATTATTATTATTATTATTATTATTATTAATCTCACCAATTTCGAATCCATAGCTTTTTGTAAAGCGATATGTTCTTTGAGATCTGTCGGCATTGATTCTGGTAAATTATCCGTATCGTTATAATAATCCGGTTTCCAACCGTAAATCTGTAAAATGGAAAAAAAAATTGAAAAAAATAATAATAATAATTCGTGTTGTGACGTCATCGAGTATAAAAAAGGCAAAAAAAAATTTTATTCCCTCCCCCCCACATTCATAGAGTTTATTTTATTTATTTTCGTATCGGAAATGGTTTTTATTTATTTATTTAAAAAACTAAAAAGTGTAGTATCCCCTTGCTTTCTCCTACCTTCCCCCTCTTCTCCTTCCCCTCCCCTTTTTTCGAGTAATGATTTTAAAGTTTAAGTTTTTTATTATTACTATTATTCGATCGAATTTTAATTATTCGGGTTTGTAATAAAGTACGACTCAATTAATAATTAAAAAAAACTTTGGTTTGTTTATTTATTTTTTTAACATTACGCGGCGTTTTAATAATTTAATGATTTAAATTTAAATTTAAATTTAAAAATAAATTTAAAATAAATTAATGAAGTCGAAAAAAAAATAAAATAAATTAGAAAACTTTTACGGGGGAAAAAAAAAATTTGTTTTTCAAATCATCCGGGGGTTTTTTTGTTTTACACGTCATTGATCATTTTTGCATTGATAAATATAAACAATTAAAAATTTAAATTTAAATTTAAATTTAAAAAAAAAAACAATTAACTTTATTACTTTTAATAACAAAAAGCTTTCAAAAAAAAAAAAATGACTGAGTTTAAATTGTCATTCAAAAAAAAAGTTTTTCTTTTCTTTTCTTTTCTTTCCTTTTTCCTTTTTCTTTTTTTTATGTAAGTGAGGGAATTATATTAAAAAAAAAAAATTTAAGTGTAAATTATTATTATTATTATTAAAATTATTATTATTATTACTATTTAATTACACTTGAGTGAAAATTATATAAAATGGAAAATGAAAAAAAAAAAGAAAAAAAAAATTTTTTTTTTTTTTCATTTTATTATAAAGCACGTCAATCAAAAGCTTTTCAAAAACTTTTATCATTATTATTATTATTATTATTATCATTATCATTTTTTTTCCTTTCTTTCCATTTATTTATTTATTTCACAGTTTATTCTTCTGCTTTATTTTTGTTTTTTTTTTTTTGCGTTCGATTTTTATTTATTTATTTATTTATTTTTTTGATTAACGTTAAGTTAAAAAAAAATGAGTAAATATTTGTTTTGTGAAAATTCAGTTCGGAAAACCGGAAAAGGAAAATGAAAAAATAAAAATAAAAAAATTATTCGGCCTCGTTAAATTGTTATCATTCGGTCATATAAATAATATTATAGTAAAAGGAAATGATTTTCCTTTGAATTTTCCAACTTATTCTAATTTTTCTTTTATAAAAAAAAAAGCATTCATGCACAATAAAAAAAAAAATTTAATGTATAAATGGTACGTAGAAATCTTTTATTATTATTATTATCATTCGCGGATCTTAAACCTGTAGGTCGTCATTTTTTTTTATTCGAAAGGAAAAAAAAAAGAAAACGCGCATGCGCAAAAATATTTCCCTTTCCGGAATAGAATTTAAAAGAGAGAGAGAAAAAAAAAGTTTAAAATTCTTCGTATATAAAAAATCCCCGTGAAAAAAAAGAAAAAAAAATGAAATGCAAGGAAGAATAAAAAATAATAATAATATTTTCTTTTTCCTGGATATTTTTCTGGAGTGTTGAATAATAATAATAATAATAATAATGCTCGACGTATAAATAAAAAATTTTTTTTAACGTAAATGATATTCAATGACGATATGAAAAACATCAAAAAGAATAAAATTTGATATTTTATTTTTGTTTTTGTTTTTGTTATCCCCACTCCCCGAAAAAAAAAAAAGGAAAAATGGATAACGTGTTTGAATGGTTTTAAAATTTAAATCTTTCCCCCCTCCTCAAAAAAAAGAAAGGAAAATCTAAGAAACGATTCGTTTTTTTTTTTTAAACTTACTTTCCACAAAAAAAAAAAACTTACTTTATTTAATTTTAAAAATATGCAGGGCCCGGATTTGTGATAATTAAATGAATTTTCTTTCGTGCAGGGATGCCAATTTTTAACGTCAACGTTGCAAACCTGATTGCTGTTTGGGGGCCTGTCGTAATCGCAATTGTATATATTTTGTCCTCTTCCCGGTGTTAAACCTGGATGCCTGTAAACTGTTAATACAAAAAAAAAACAAAATCATAAATCAAATTATTTATCTTTGTCGTTCGAATACGTTTAAAATTATCACGTGACTTTTTCCCACACCCCTTCCCCTCAAGCGGGAAAAACAATAAGATCAATATGTATGTATATATATACATGCGAAAAAAATTATTTAGAATTTCAGGAAATGAAAAATGAAAAACTCTTTTTTTTTTTTTTTGTTTGTTCGATCGTTTGTTTGTTTGTTTGTTTTTTTTTTACCTGACCGAAAATAAATCGTTATCAAATCGTTTTTATTAAACCGAATAATTTTTTTTGATATGTGAAAATGACAGTTTTTGTTTGTCGACGTCACACACGCGCATTTTTTTTTTTTTTAAATCAAAAATATAAAAGAAAAAAAAGAGAGCCTAAAAAATGGCGTAATAATAATAAAATTATTATTATTATTATTATTTATTTATTTTTTTAAAATTTAAAAATAAAATTTCGTTTATGGAAAATTGTGGAAATTTTTTTTTTTCCGTTTAATATGGGCTTTAAACAAAAAGGTCAGACGTTATGAAATTTTGGAATTGCAATCATCTATCGTATAGTTACTCCCCCCCCCAAAAAAAAAAATGTTCACGTTTGATAACGAAAAAAACCTTTTAACGGATTTAAAAAAAAAAAAAAAAAACGTCATCAGGTGATAACGTTAAAAATAAATTTTCTCACCTTCTAAAAATTCATTCAGAGAATTTATCCAATACTGAAAATTTTGTCTGTCGCTTCCGTTGTACCAAATCAAAGTACTTTCAACATTTTCTCCCGGTGGGTGAGGTCTAAAACCCATACCTGGAAATAATAATTCCATTATAAAAAGTTCAAAAGTTTGATATATGCTATAAAAAAAATCGTACCTGGATTTGTTCCTATGAGTGATTGTTCGAGTTTCCATCTGGGTTCTTGAGTGTTTAATGTTTGAAAAAACACCCACAACATAATTGTAAACATTGCAGCGAGTACGATGTAAAAAACAAAATAGAAAAGTGATATTTTCGCTAGGGGGAAAAAAGAAAAAAAATCAATAAATAAATATCGATTTATCGGAAATTTACGTAATACGTCTAATTTTTTTTTTTTTTTTTTTTACAATTAATTAATTAATCGACAAGGAAAAAAAAAAACGGATTTTTAGATCAACGTTTTTTGTACAAAAAGGATTTTTTATAAAATACCGGAAAAGGAAAACGACGAAGAGTGGGAAATGATAAATATATTTACGTATAACTTATTATTATTATTATTACGTAAAAAGGTTAATAAAACCTTTTGAGGTTAAATTCAATTTTTAATTCTTCGACCAAACAGATTTCGATGGGTTACGTTTTTTTTTTTTTTTGCAAATTTTTTAATTTATTAATTTTTTATATATTAAATCGTCTAAAATTATTAATTAATAACTATAATTCAATAAAATTAAATAAATAAAACATTATTATTATGGTCACTCTTAAACACGACAAGGCTCTTATTTGTCGGGGTTGTTAAGCATTTATCCCAGGTCTCTACCCGATTCCTTAGGGACAAATACTCGAATATCGGTGGTGCTATTTATAATATTTTCCGAAGAATGTGGGCCGTCCCACATAGTGCGATTTCCTGGATGGTTTCTTCTTTTAGGTTCTTCATAATCTTCTTTAAATTTCCTTTTATTGAATGTGGCATGGCTCCCAATGCTCCCACGATGACCGGAATCGTTTCAGTTTTTGTTCCCCACATCCTGGTTATTTCAATTTCCAAATTTCTGTATTTCAGCCTTTTGTCTGCTTCTTTGGCTGTGGTGTTTTTTTCTGCCGGCACGGATACCTCAATTAACTTACACCATTTTTCCCCATTATGCCTGAGTATGATATCCGGTTTGTTAGCTGGCACAGTTCTATCAGTGTGGATTTGTTGATCATATAGAACTGTGCATGGACCTACTGTCGTAACCGGGCTTGGAATGTGGTTGTACCACTCCTTGGGTAATCCATCCATTCCATATTCTCGGCATATACTCCAATGGAGATATTGACATATTTTATTGTGCCTTTCTAAATATTCATGTTTTGCCAGTATCGGACAACCGGAAATTAAATGATCGATGGTTTCCGATTGAGATTGGCAAATTCGGCACTTGTCATCTTGGCGGACTTTGAGAATTACTTTTTCATAGTTATGGGTCCGCAATGCCTGATCTTGAGCCGCTGTAATAAACGCTTCTGTTTCAATTTTAAGTTTTCCACGCCGTAGCCAATTGTGCGTGCTCTTCTTATTAATATCTTCGGCATTTATTCTTTTTAGGTATTGCCCATGTAATTTTTTCTGTTCCCATTTGCCTATTAATTTCTTCTGAGATTGGGCTTTGCTATTATAAGTTGCAAGTTGCCCTTCTTCCATTATCTCATTTTCTTTATTTTCTAGGACGATTTGTTTTGCCTTTTTCAGAACTCCTTTTTTTGTAGTTTTTTCTTCTGCATGTATAACTTGGGCTAAAATAGGGTCCTCTTGATGGGATTCTATGTATTTTCCCATTCCAATAATGGCATTCTGGTGTGCCGCTTCTATTTGTCTTAATCCTCTTCCTCCATCTTTCCTGCTGACGTACAATCTATCCACATCAGCCTTTGGATGTAACGCACCATTCATGGTTAATATTTTTCTTGTCCTTCTATCTAGGTGCGTGATTTCTTCTTTCGTCCAGTCTACGAGGCCAAAACTATATTCTATTACAGGAACTGCTAATGTGCCGACGGCGGTTATCTTATTTCTTCCATTCAGTTCCGACTGTAATATAAGCCTCAATCTTTTAAAATATTCTCTTTTCAATCGAGGTTTAATTTCCTTGTTGGCTATCCCAAAATTTTCTTCAATCCCCAGATATTTGTATGATGATCCAGGGTCCAATTCTTTAATAAGTTCTTCTTCGGAGTCTTCTATATTCTGCTTTTGTTTTAACTTTCCTCTGACAATATTTATTCTGGCACATTTTTCCAAACCAAATTTCATGTTGATGTCAGAGGAAAAGGTTTGAACCGTCCGTAACATTTTATTTAACTCCTCTTCATTTTTGGCATAAATTTTTAAGTCATCCATATATAGCATATGGGTAATTTTCCTGCCTCCCGGTATCAACTCATATCCTTGATCCTTGATATTAAGCTGTCTGGATAGAGGAATTAAAGACATGCAAAATAAAAGTGGCGACAATGAATCTCCCTGAAAAATCCCTCTTTTTATAAATATTTTTCTAGAAGAGTATTTTTGCACTTCCAGCTGGGTGCACCAATTTTTCATACTCTTCTCGCAGAACGCTGTAATTTTAGGGTCTACTTTATATATTTTCAGTGCCTCAATAATCCATTCGTGAGGCACACTATCAAAGGCCTTTTGATAGTCAATCCATGCCATGCTTAAATTCTTCCTCTTTTGTTTTGCACTGGCCATGATCAATTTATTTATTAATAAAACCTCCTTGCAGCCGTAAGACCCTTTCCTGCATCCATATTGTTCAGGAGGAAAAATGTTATTTTTTCTTAAATGCCCATAAATCTTTTCAGCAATAATAGCTGTTATTATTTTATACATTGTGGGCAAACAGGTTATCGGCCGAAAATCTTTCGGTTCCATAGCTCCTGATTTTTTTGGCAGCAAATACGTTTTTCCCGTGGTTATCCATTCTGGCATTTCTTGCCGTCCCATTATTAATTTATTTATGGATACCAGTAAATACTTATGGGTACTTGTAAAATTCTTAATCCAAAAATTTTGTACCCTATCTAATCCGGGACTTTTCCAATTGGCCGTGTTTTTTAGGCATGTTTCTAAATCCGCCATTCTTACATCCGACATTGTTGAAGAAGCAATCCAGGCATGTGCTTCTTTTTCTTTATTCATCCATGTAGAGTTCTTATTTAGTGGATGAGATTTTTCCCATATATTCGACCAAAAGTCTGCCATTTTTTCTACATTTAAGGTGCTGGATCCATTTTGTATGTTCTGCTCTCTAATTGTTCTATAAAATTTCTTTGGGTCCGATTCAAACAATTTATTTTGTCGCCAAAACTGCTCTCTCTTCTTATATCTCCTTATTCTTTGAGAATAGAGCAATACCTTTTGTTTTAAGGTTTCCAAGGTAAGTTCTGTATCTTCTTTGGTCTTTAATTTATATGTCCTTTTAAGGTGATCCAGTTTCTTTATTGTCCTCTTCTTTAAATTATTATTCTTCTTCATTTCGGATACCAGGGAGATATGTGATCTTATTCTTTCTATT